TGGCCAATCAGCTGCTGCGGCTCCGCAACAGGGAGACAGTCCGTTAGACTGACTGGGTTTAACTGGGTTAACTGGGACTTACTGGGTTAACTGGGAATGACTGGGTTTAACTGGGTTAACTGGGAATGACTGGATCTAACTGGGTTTAACTGGGTTAACTGGGAATGACTAGATCTAACTGGGTTTAACTGGGTTAACTGGGACTTACTGGGTTTAACTGGGTTAACTGGGAATGACTGGGTTTAACTGGGTTAACTGTGAATGACTGGGTCTGACTGGATCTGACTGGCTCTAACTGGGTTAACTGGGACTTACTGGGTTTAACTGAGTTAACTGGGTTTAACGGTTTAACTGGGTCTGACAGCAGTTGGGACGGCATTCAACTGGCAACCTGTCTGTTTTTAACTTTTCACATTGCAAACAGAAAAGTAAAACCTGAACCGGGAGGAGAAAGATTCATTTCCACAAATAAAGATCTGAAAAGTGTGGTGTGCACTTTATTCAACCTCTAAATGAATAAATCACCTAATCAGCTCCAGAGTCCAGCTGGTTCTGGTTTTGGTCTCAGAGCTTGTCCAGAGAACACCCATTGCCATGGCGACCCAGATGGGCCCGTGGGATCGAAGCTGTGGAACCAGTAACTATTTTCCTTTGGAGTTTATGGTCTCCTCATGTTGCTATGGTGATGATGATTGAAGGAGCAACATCCTATAATACCCAGCATGATGCTGCCCAGCCTGGATTGGGGTTAATGCAGTTAATGGACTTTACTGTTGAATGAACACCAGATGGAGGGGCATCTATGACCTTTGACCCCCGACACATCGTCACCAGGAAATAGCCCGTTCTCAGTGCTCGTGCCGCATCTCATGCCCATATAAGGCATCGTTTAGTTGCTGCCCGACCCGCCGCGCCGCGCCGCGGCTTCATCTGAGCGGCTCCACGCCGCCCTCTGCTGCTGGAGGAAGGAACTGCTGAGCCTCTGAAATGATTTCTAAATAATTACTGAGTTTGTGTTTTTTTTGAGTAAATTTAAGTTGATTCATTTTATGATCCTGCCGCATGACTTCTGTCAGCGGGATTTATTTTGGTTTACTGATGAGCGTTTTGAGGTTTCTGTGCTTTTGTCATAATTTCAATAAATTAAAACCCCAGCCAGCATGCCTAGGTGGGCCCCATGTGGGGAAAAGGAGGGCAGACTATATGGGTCCCATATGGGTTTGTCCGCGGGTTCCACGATGGCCCCACATGGGTTTGCCCATGTAGGGCCAGAGCCCACATGGGCCCTGCATGGGCCCTATATGGTGGTGGCCCACATGGGTTTTGTCCAATTAGGGCCCATGTAGCGCCCATGTGGGGCCATCGTGGAACCCGCGGACAAACCCATATGGGACCCATATAGTCTGCCCTCCTTGTCCCCACATGGGTCCCACCTAGGCATGCTGGCAACTCTTGAATTGGAGTAAATTACATCCAACCTGCCATTTTAAAAGACTACTTATTCTTGAGCAGAGCGGCTCCGCAGTACCACCTGCACACCATGCAGTTCAACACACTGCGCCATCTGCTGGCCGTTCGTGGAACTGCACGCCGACATGAACTGAATATCTGCAGGTTTCATGTTTTTAATATAATCAAAAAGGAAAATCAAATCAAGAATTTTCCTAATCAAACTATTTCATCCTTCAAGCCGCTTTCTGACCCAGAAACAGGAGCTGACCCACTTTCAGCAGCACCGTAACCGAACCGACCAGATTCTGCTCCTGAATGCAGCCCTGCTGAGCCCCGCCCCCAGCGCCCGCGCCCAATCAGAGCCCAGCGAGTGGGAAGCGGAGCTCTGTGATTGGGTGCCGGGTGAACCAGTGAACTCAGTCCTCCATCCAAGGCTGCAGACCTGAAGTGAGGGACTCGCTCTGCGTGGCGGTGCGTGGCGGGTCTGACCTTTCCCACATATCTGCAGGTGTGTGCGGGATGCTCAGGTGGAAACGCTCATCTGATGAAAGTCATTGATCGGTCAGGCTGTGACGTCACCCAGGCTGCCGCTGCAGGTAGAAGGTGTCCGGCCTCCTGGGAGGGAAAGGAGCGGCTGGTAAACAGGAAGTCAGGCGGAGTCATGTGACCCACAGAGAGGGGGGGGAGAAAGGAGGCATGGGAGGCAGGGAGCTCTGGATCACGTGACCAGGGAGAGAGGGGGTTCACGTGACCTCCTTCCCCCTCTGCTCACATTCCTGCTGATGTTTCACCAAACAGATAAAGTTTCCCTCCATGGAGGGCGTGAAAACTCTTTCTCTGCCCAGGCTGAAGTGTTTGTTCTCACATGAAGTGTTGTCTGGTTGCGGTCCTGCAGAGCATCATGGGTAATAGCGACAGCGTGATGGTGCAGAAGCGGATGGCCCGGTTCCGTCCAGAGGAGCGGTCCGTGATCGACGGCGTGTTCAAGCGTCTGCAGACCGGCGGCCCGGGGAAGACGCTCCAGCTGGAGGCGCTGCAGGTCAGAGGTGGCTGAAGGTCGTCCTTCCACTAACTGTTCTTGGGTCTGCCACTGAGTCGGGAGGCTGGAGGAACTGGTTCTAAAGAGTCCAGAAGGTTCATGAAGGTGAACTTTGACCTGGGTCCACCAGAATGCTGCAGCTGTTGCACAAACAATAATAATTCTCAGCAGAGAAGCGGTGACATGTTTATCATTAATGAGCTTCTGACTGGAGGACGCCCCCTGGTGGACAGAAATGGAAAACCTTCATTCTGGAGGAAGATGTTCTGATGAAGAAAGTTGATCATAAATGAATCTGATTTAATTTGTTACATCACAAAGTTTATTTGAAAGTCGCCTCGTTAATTAATTTATCATCCTGAATTAAACAGCAGCTCAGCCAATCAGATGAAGCCGATTAAAATAACAATCTCAAAGCTTTGTTCGTAGTTCATGAACTACCATCTGTTTATAAACTGTCGCTCATCCAGTGGCACCTGAGGCGGAGTTCAGAGGTCATGGGGTCAGCCTGTCGAATATTCTGTGAAATTAGAGATTAAATTAAATTAATCTTTAGTCTGTCAGTTTGACACCTGGAAGAAAATCCAGATGAGATGAAGAAGCAGTGAGGAAGAGGAGGGCTTTGATTCATCATTATTGATTATTGAATATTGATTTAAATATTTTATTTTCTATGTGATACATTTAATAAATTCAAGAATTATCTTCAAATCTATGACAAAAATCAGCAGAAATGAATGTAGTGAATAATAATATTAAAACTGTAATAATAAAGGGGCCCAGAACTTTAGACCTGACCCGGTTCTGCTGGTCCTGACCTGGTCCGGCCCGGTGTAGAACCTAGGTCTTGTCCAGCATTGTCCCCTCTGCTAGTGTGTCTCCTTTTGTCCTGCAGGCGTCCCTGGGGGCCCTGGTCCCCGTCACCATGGTGACCAGGATGTTCTGGGGCCTGTGCAGCATCGAGCCGGGTCTGGCGGAACCGGGCCGGGCCAGCGCCGCCCTGGGGCCAGACCGGGAGCAGCTGATGGTCTTCCTGGCAGACGTCCTGCGGGGGACAGCAGAGGAGCGCGCACCGCTGGTCATGGCCATGTCCCACAATGCTGCAGGGTGGCCGCAGGCGGTCAGCTGCCAGCAGGTGGCGGCGGTGAGTAGGGAGGGGAGGAGGCAGGAAGTGATGTCGGGTTGAGGCTCATGGCTTGTACTCCGTAGTTCCTGGAGGACCTGATCACTGCTGTAGTTCACATCCTGACCAGGAGGGGGCGCCTGCAGGGCTGGAGGCCGCAGCAGATGGGCAACACGGCGATGGGGGTCAAGCTGCTGGCCGAGCAGATGACCTCTGACCTCAGACCATCGGGTAAGCTCCCGGTCCAAGGCCCCATCCCCAATCTATCTGACCCCGCCTCTTTCTGTCTGACTCCGCCCCTTTCTGTCCTCAGACCCGACGACCTGTGACCTGTCCTGTCTGGAGGACTGGGTCTTCCGGGTGCCCCAGGTGGCCCAGTACCTGGAGGTTCTGGTGGCTGAGGGGCTGGACGTTTCCCTGAGCGGCTGGACAGCGCCGGCCCTGCTGCCGCAGTGCCGGGACACAGACTGGACCCGCCTGACGGTCCTGCTGGATGTCCCCACGCTCATGTTCCTGGCTCCACAGGTCAGTGGGTCAATCAGAACCAGGACCAGAACCAGAAGCAGGACCAGGACTAATCTTTGAATTCAGTCACTGAACAGATGCTGACAACAGAAAAATGTGTGGGGCTGTCAAAACTTTCTGAGCAAAGACTGAAGTTATTAAAGAGGAACAATCTAGAGTTATAGATCTAGCTTCAGTTGTCCCACCTGGAGACCAGAGATCAGGCTGACCTCTGACCTCTGCCCTGACCCTTCGGTTCCTCAGTGGTCCTTCTAGCAGCAGCAGAACATTTCAGGCCCAGAGGACGAAAGTCTGAGACCAGAGAAACTCATCCAGGATTTAGTGGCTTTGATTCCTGCAGCAGGTCAGACTGAGACCAGAAGCTGCAGCTGGAGATCTGACTAGAACCAGGAGGGTAGAGACACCAGCTGGTTCTACACCACCTGGTTCTACACCACCCGGTTCTACACCACCCGGTTCTACACCACCTGGTTCTACACCACCCGGTTCTACACCACCCGGTTCTACGCCACCTGGTTCTACGCCACCTGGTTCTACACCACCCGGTTCTATACCACCCGGTTCTACACCATCCGGTTTATAAATCACTGAACGGATTAAAGATCTGCTGCTGGATCAACCTGCTGGTTCTGGTTGTGGTTCTGCTCTCCTGTCAGAACCGGGTCGAGCTTTACCGAACTACCTTCCCTGGTTCATCAGTAACCGTGTCCGTTTCTCCCCAGCTGCCAGACGGCTGCAGCGCCCCCTGGAGGCTGGTCTTCTCCACGCAGCTGCACGGGGAGAGCTTCACCAGGATGGCCGCCGCTCTGCAGCACCACGGCCCCACGATGCTGCTGCTGCGGGACAGCCGGGGCCACGTGTTCGGGGGCTTCGCCTCCACCGCCTGGGAGCACAAGCCCCAGTTCCAGGGTAGGAGGCCTGCTGGGTCAGAACCGGTTCTGGTGTTGGGACCTAGCAGGACAAATTGGACCTCAGGTGGACTCTGGAGCTCCAGATGTTCCTAAGACGCTGATCCGATTTGGGTCTGCTTTAGGTTCTGGTACCACCAGTGCAGTCACCATCATCATCATCATTACTCTTCCTCCTAATCCAGAACCAGCTGCTCCGCTTTACCTCAGGGGGTGAATTAAAGTTTCCTCAGCAGCCAGGCGAGGAGAACAAAGTGATGAATCGTTTCCTGTAACCCGGCCAGACTTTGATCACACTTTGATTCTGGAAGGGATTTTAATGCTGATGGTTGTCATGACGACTGCAGCCAAACATCAAACTGTTGCAACATCGGGTTTATATCAGATCGCTTCCAAAAACCCCCACAAAAGATTCTTGTTAAGAGTAAGTCGAGAAATGATTGTTGAATCGGCTGCAGTGCGCCCCCTGGTGGCCGGGCGCTTTACTAACTGACCTCAGCGTCACTATGAGGAATAATAGAAACAGAAACAGAGGAAAAATGGGTCACATTCAACAACCAGCAGCTTCTGTGTTCAGACTAAAGAAAAGCCAAAGAAGCAGAGTTGGGTTAAAGGTCGGCCATTTTGCCACCAGAGTTTTAAATATGGCTACTGCTAATAAAAGAATGTAGGAAAAGGTATGTCTACGTTCAATATCTATGAAAAGTTTTCACCTTTTATTGCTTTAACTAATCAGTTATGATCAGTGAAAGTTACAGTGAAACTTTTAATGTCAAACTGAAAAGAGATTTCTATAAAAAGAGTTAAGAATCTTTCGTAAGTGAGTTGGGGTTTAATATCGGCACCTCTGGACTCATCTGGACGTCCTTCTTGGAGAGGACCAGCTGGGAACAGGTCTGGGCTTTAACTAGGCCAGTCCAGAATGTCGTCGCCTCTGAAGCTGACTGCTAAAGAACCAGCAGCTGTTGCCACGGTAACCTGTTGTCCTCTCCTGTCTCTTAGTCAATAAAGACTAATTTAGTTGATCATTGATAATTAATCAATGATCATGATAGCTACCTTCCCTGGTTCATCAGTAACCATGTCCGTCAATAGTTGATCATGATTAATTAACAGAAGGGGTGAATACTTTTCAAAGTGCATGTTAAATATCAGGGCCGTGCAGAGGCCACTAAAGGGGCAGGTGCTCAAAAAAAAA